CGATCTGATCTATTTGTTTACATGTAAGGCGTGAAAGCGGTTGACTTGGAGTGGCCCGACCTCTTGCTTTCACAACATCAACACCATTCCCATGCAAGACCTCTGTTTTGCAGGAACATTCATTTGGTGCACATATTTGTGGACATCCACCTTCACATGCCAAACCGGTTTACCATCCGAACCCCCACGTATGCTTGGCCGTGTCCCCCCCGCCTGTCGCGCCACGCCGGACGGGCAGCGACTTGGATGACCTTGCGGTCTTCCGAGGCCACGAAGGCCTCGTAGCCGCACCAAAGCCGGCAGTAAACACTGCCTCGGTGGGGGAGGTGAGACGAAACGGGGGTGAAACATGAGTGAAAGGACTAAACAGGTGGAAGGCATTCCTTGCAAGTACATGATGTAGGCTTCTGTTATCGCTTGATGCTCTTACATAATGATCAGATATATCATTTATATGCTGGAAGAATGCTGGAGGACACAAGACGGTGCATTCTCCAGGCGAAGTGTGATGTTTTTCAGGCAAAGAATGAGGCAACTGCAATTGACATCAGCCCTCAAAGAGATCGAAGAGCGGAAATACCCCAATCCTCCCCACAACACCCAAAGCACGGTGTCGGTTGGGCACCACCAAGACATCCCGGGAGGCTTGCAGCGCCAAGGCAAACGGCGAGGACTTGGGTGATTGGAGCATGCAGCCGATGTTGAGGTGCTGAGGGTTTGCCAGCATGCAACACCAAGCATTCCGAGCACCTCACAGAGCCCCGAACACGGGCCGTTGATGAAGAAGGGACACGTGACACGTTTGGAGCACTGCTGAGTCAGCTGATTGGGCCTTGAGGTGTAAAGAAATCCCTCAAAACCTTGGAGCGTCCTCGCAAGCCCGTCGCAGACCCATGCATACACGATCCTGCAACATGCTGCAAAACCTTGCAACACACTCTCGACCTACGAATACACTCTCCTCCATCCAGCCGCTGGTCGACCTTCCTTATTAGACACCTCTCGTCTTCTCCACCACCACGCCTGAGGGCCACGAGGCAAGAACTTTGGAGAGAAACTCGAAGATGCCTTCCTGCGGTCGAAAACCCGGCTCTTCGGTGGAGAAAACAAACAGACATCGAACCAGAACTTCGTGATACTTCGTGGTTGGTCCAAACACCATAACCTGAAAGGAGAGGACCTGAAGTTTGGACACTGATACCGAAATAATAGCTGAAATGTAGAGTGACTGGAGAGAAAACTGGAGGTATGATGAATATTAAGTATAGACACACAAACGCATATATGCTTGTTATATAACCCTCATTTCGCACCTCATTGCACACCTTTCATGTTGAGCATCTACCATAGGGGCACGCAATACCATGCTTTCCTTCCTGGCACTACAACATTAAGTCCCACCTCTGGACCTCCCAACGCCCGCGTCGCGCGAACCCCGCCCCTCGCGGCGCCCCTCGCGTCCTGCCAGGCATGACTGACAAAGACGTGGCAGTCCAAGCCCTTTGGATTTCGCATCAAGGCCCAACTCATCTTCCCAGCTTCCGCGGTCACTGGCTTGATGTACTGCTCGTTCACAGCGTAGATGCCTGAGAGGTCTTATCTGTGTTCTTCTTCGGTCTTGGGATCGAAATGGCTCGGACTACCCCAAAGGCACCTGAAATGGTTAGTATACCTATACCTATTACTATAGAACCTCATTAGGCGAGAATGTCCGCCCAACTTCGGTAAAACACATCTGCCCGTGTTCACAAAGAACGCCTAAGCTGCAGCCTCGAGGGTCCCAAAACGCCGGTTGGCACAGTCACATGCATTCTTACGCGCATGAGAAAGCAACTTGACGCTAGTTCCCGGTCTAAAGCTCATGTCACTTGCTCCCCTCCAAAAGGCTACCATTCCTCTGTCCACCCAAATCACCCTATGAAAGCCCCGAAAAACGGTACCTACGCAAAAAAAAAACACGCCTGCGAGGTCATAGAAACACTATGAAACACTAAACGCATGCAGAAGTGACACATCAAGTGAGTTAATTCCTGATTAGTAAGTGTACTATACTACTTTACTGTATCTATATGGTTCCTGGAACCAAGGGTGGGTGGATCTTGCCATTGCCGCCAAAAAGGAGAAGAACAAGAGGGGCCAAGAACCCCTAAGCACCGACACAGGCGCCTTTACCATAGTAGGCAAACATCTCTGCCCAAGAAGAGGTTCTAGGTATATATGTGATATTTGGAGACGTTTCCATTCTGGAAGAACTTGCTAGCCACTATGGCGTGCTATGGCCCTTTACTCGAAACAATTATGAATAATTGGCTGGTCAGTTTCTATATATACTCTGGGCTACACACTGTCCTGCAAGTGGAAAGAAAGACAATGTACGAAGAAGTGTTGCGAAATGCATGGACTGGGTACTTGGCCCAAAGTGATCGTCATCGATGCTTTCCTCGCTATCTTCACTGTCGCTATTCGCAGAGAGCAAGGATTGAAGACGGCCATCTTGGATGGCGAGGATCAACTGCTGCTGCAAATGCCTTGGCAAAGCCGAACGGATGAGACTCTCTGAGCGCTTTGAAACCCTCTGCAGGAGACACTCTTCCTTCCAGCGAGGACATCATGTCGGACATCTTTCTTCCCCGTCCGTTCACCCTTCGGTATCACACTCCATCTTCCGTCCACCAAAATGTTTGCCTCGTATCGCTCTGCCCCCCCACCTGTTGACTAAACGAGAACCCAAGTATCGGAGATGCTTTTGGAAAACACAGATAGACAACAGCACTTAAGTTAGGTGTCGTCCCTTCTTTGTGCCAACTGCAGGGTTGTTTTGCAAGTGTTGGGGTCCCGTCGGCCCAATGGTTTCACAGTCGTTCACTGGAAAACCGTTCCTTGATTCAAGTGTTCCCCACCAGGGCCGAGAGGCTTCAGATCGGCCTTGTTCACGCACCATCGCTCCGGGCTCACCTAGCTGAGAACGTCGACGCTTCGGCCCAGTGCGTCACAGGGAACAGGCTAGCTTCTGACCCAAACACCAAGGGGCATGGGGGAATGTTGAGATTTAGTCGATGAGCTACACAGTGGCTAACAATGGTGATACATGTGGATCATGAATGTGGGCAAATGTCCAATCTCCTCTGGTCAAAGACCCAAGCCTCAACGGTTCCTTTCCAAAACTTGATAGATCATAAGCACTCAAAAACACGCTCAAAGCAACTCAAACCAAAAGGCCTCTGCTTGACTCCATACCAGCCAGGTGACCGACTCATGCATGGCCACCGCATCGCTGGTGGTTCGTCTCCGCCGCGTGCGATGCAGCGGAGGCGGAGGACGTTCGGACGGGACGCCGGCTTGCGCCATCCGGTCGCGAACATCCAGCCACTTCAGGCGGAAGAACTGGCTCTGTCTTGAGTCTCATGTTATACAAAAATTGGCATGTAAAGTTCCATCAGTTCGATCTAGTGCTGACTCATTGTGCTGGATGGTATCTTCAGAACATTGTCTACAAGCCAGTGTCGGTGTTTTCTCTAAGGGTCCATAGGGTACCAAAGAGGGTCCATCACCTTCAACGCTGTGGAGGGTCTAAGACCCTCTTGTCTCGCATGCGATGTCAAAAGCCCCACGTTTCAGGGCTGTTTGAAGCAAAAGAGCTCCAACCCTTCCGTTGGCCTGGCACCAGCCAGCCTGGGCCCCTTTGTTGTTCCCACCAAGCGTGTCAAAGAAACATGGGGGACACCCATGTTCTATACAATTGCTGTTCGGGTGTGTAAACAAACAACTAACCAACCATCTCAGGCCACGTGCGCCAAAACAGGCCTCAACAAGAAATTTCCGACCAGCTCTGTGTGCTGCTCAGAGCAAAGACTCTACACATCTCAACATGAACCGTGGTCACACCCGTGAAGAAAGGATGCCCGTCAGACGGGGTATGTTCGGTCTGACTGCAGTGATGCATCACTCACGGAATTCGAGCAGCTTAAGCTACTCAGCTTGCTCTGACCTGGGTCAGGCCCCCTAGGTGGTGAGAATGAGTGGTGACGCGTCAACTTTCATACACCCCTAAGAATCCGGGCCCTGCTTCACCATTTTCGCGGCCGCCTCTTGCATTTGTCATTGGTCACTTAACAAATCGACATTTGCAATGAAGCAGGTCATCTGCTCCCTGCATCACATGGATCTGCATACCACTGATTTGCTAACATGAGCAAACTCTGTTGGCTACAAAATCCCTCGGGCCGCAGTCGTCTATACACCTGCTGACCCTTGTTGATGCAAACATGCGACGCGGGCGCGACGCAATGAATGAATGGCCCCTGGACCCCACAAAGAGCTCTGTACAGTGAGAGGTGAGTCTTGCCACAGAACTCCACCCATTCGAATGATCTGTTTTAGATTGGGGGATGCATGTAGACTCAAACTTGCATAGGATGCTTTTTTGCATGCGTCTTCTACATGTTTACGCCTCGCTCGCTTGCACACCTGTCACCTCAAGCAGGAGTCCTGTCCTCGAGAAACACCAACCAAGGACCAGTCAAAACTTGTCCCTTCCAAAGGATCCCTGTACAACTGGCTGGTGCACTGATGGAATGCACCTGTCGCACTCGTTTCTCTACACTTCGCACCGAAGGCTCAGGATCCTCAAAACCGAGCAGGCGACCCTCGCAAGGGCAGCATGCCGGCAATGCGGTGCGCTTTCGGAACCGGACCCACCCCACGTGGTGCGCGAGCGATCTCGGCTGGGAACCGAGGCTGATTCACCTCAGGATCCCCCAGGGTTTTCGCTTTCGCGTTGCAAACTTCCAACATCTCAGGTACATAATCTTTCGAAACGTCTGGAGAAGCAACGATCCAACCTGGTTGCGGTACCGGTTCCATCTCGGCCTTTTGATGCTGAACCGAACAGGTCTGGCTTCGGACCCTTCAGGTCACCCGACCAGAGCCCAGCCTCCGGACACATCGATCTGTACTCCGAACCCGTTGCTGCTTAAAGTCGGGTTCGGCGGTGTCGTGAATCACTCCGTGTCGCTCTCGGAAAGTGAGGAGGACGCTCGGAGGCGCTCCCGTGAACGCCTGACCAGGAAGTACCTTGGTCTTGCAACTTTGGGGGAAACCAATGGATATTGGCAATACATTCCATGTAACTGGAATGGCCAGCAATACATTCCAGTACTTTGACAGTCCAACCAATAATGTAATTTGGCCCAGCATTACATTTGAGATGTCTTGTAATTTGGATTTCAGCTCTTCTTGGGTGTCAATAGTCGCTCGTCATAGTCAACTTACTGTATGTTAGTGTATTCTGTCTGACTGCAGTTGATGGTCAAAAGGAGAACATAGGGGAAAGAACACTTGTCAAAGCGAGCAATACTGTTATCATTGCCCCATCTTCTATATGTCTGTCTTGTATGCTTATTATTCGCAAATGCGCTCACCTTCCCTGATAGCAAACTCAATTGTGCCAAGATACTGTAGAATGCATTTGCCGCCTCCCAACAACAACATAATGTGCATGGGAATATGACATCAGGTGTTTGTTTATGTTTATATAAGAACGACAATAAATGTCAAGGGAAAATGACATGGTTCGTATGTTTGATCAACATCAAATCAACACCAAAAGAAAACAAGACCTGTTGTGGACATCAATGAAAGAACACTAAAGAACCCACCAAACCTCGCCTGGCAGGGCCAGAGTCCCTCGAATGCCCGAAACGGCAAAGAAGAGAGCCACTATCATGAGAATGTGGAAGCACACGAAGAGCTCTTGGAGCGCACTCAGGGCGGCCTCGTGTTCTGCACGCCATTTCCAGCAGAAAAGCACCAGCCACAGACTCCCGGCGAAAGAAAGAATCGCCGGTCGTGATAGAACCCCCAAAAAACACCATCCACCAAACACCATCTACGAGGCCTTTACACGCACCAAAAAACCTTTTTCACAGCAAACTGCTTGGAGCAACAACACGAACCTGATACTGGAAATGAAGAGATGTCGGAAACATGGGAAGCAACTCAACCAATAAATATTGATGCTAGCCAGCCCTCGCGTTTGCACACATGGGTTGTGACACGGATGACAAACCAGTTACTTCTGAAATCTTCACACCGCGAAACTAACATGTAGACTATGGCAACTTGCTCTGATGCTGTACACAAACAGTGCGACGTGAGGGTATAGCACAGGAAATACATCGTCACGAGTTTCCACGTTTCAGCAACCAATGGTCAACCAAATACTTATTGGATATTTCTGGACTCGACGTCTTTAAACAATATTACTATTGGATATTATTGGACTCGACGTCTTCCATACCTGCATTGGATTAATCACATTAGAGTTCCGAAATTTGGTCTTGCGATGAAAAAGAAAAAATGTGATTTCCTAGTTGGCAAGTGGTAAAGCGGAAACAAATGAACACGATGCATAGACCAACATTTGAAACTTGAACTGTTGAATTTGTTTCGATTCGTTTTTCTGAAATGTTACTGTTGGGTAGGACCCTGATGGAACCTGCAATGTTTTCTGTTTTTGGCGCAAAATGGTTTCATTTCCTATGTGTTTGGCATTGGTGTGTTGGTAAAGCCACTGAATTCCACAAGCCACAACATTTATACACACTTTGACAACTTCAACCGTTAATTTCGCAAGAAGTTGCGCGTTTTTGGCAACTTCCACCGTCAATTTGGACGACGGTTGTACAGTTTGGCAACTTCGACCTGATGAATTTTGATGACAGTTATACGCACTTTCCCCACTCCACACACACACGCACACACTTAAGAAATGCGTGCTGAACTGAATGCCACTCGCCACACGGCAACCTAAGTGACCATATTCCCAGAAGAGTACAAGCACAAAAAAACCTGAAGAAAAATGGAGCGGAGTGCCTGCGACCGAGCGACAAGGACTGCTAAAGGAAACTTCGAGAACAAATTCAAAGGATCCCTGTGACTCTAAGGGGTTCACACACACACACACGCCTCCTGAGGGAGGCGAAAAGAACTAAGCCGACGACGAATGTGCGCAAAACAGACACAAAAATGATGAAATGAAAGGAGGACAAGAAAGACCGGGTGTATGTGGCTGCAATGAAAAGGAAACCAAAGTGACCTGGCACAAACGATGAACCCAACCTCCTTGTAAAACCCTGGGCGACCTCAAAACTGGTTTAAGTGCAAGTGCGCAGATGCACTAAGGGCCGGACAGATGTGCGCGCAAGAGAAAGAAGGAATGAAATGCCAGACAGAAAGACATGCAAAGAAAGAGAAAGAACAGAAGTGTGTAAAGGGGAAACAAGATGAAAGGGGGAACCAAATGGAATGGCCGAGAACCAACGAAACGAAACCTCATTGAGAAAACCTACATAGATCTGGCCTCGTTTACACTGCACACGCTGTATGTGCACCTAAGGTGGCGACAGACCCCACTGGGTCTTGAAAGAGCTTTGGCCGCTGCGGCCATCTCTTGGCGTGCCCGAAGGCTGCCTACTCAAGTCCGCTGCGGACACGCTTTGGCGTGCCCTAGGGCTGCCCACTCATATTCAATAGTTTAACAAGTCTTGGCAAACAGCTTTGGCGTAAGCCTCCTACGCTCGCTGCGAGCTACTCCGTTTCCAAGCAATGGAAACATAGACAAAACCCTGTTCAACGGGGCCACAGGGGACACTCCTCGGGTTCACCCTCGGTTCTCACTATAGGGAGAGACACACTGATAGGAAATGCGTAATGACCTGAATGCCACTCACCACACGGCAACCTAAGTGACCATATTCCTATAAGAGTAAACAGGTACAAAGGAACCTGAAGAAAAATAGGGCGGAGTGCGACGGAGCGACAAGGACGACGGAAACGTGCAAAGTCTGCCGACCTATCTCCACCTGAGCAGCCTGAAGGTTAGAGTGGGATGTAACTACAAGCGCCACAACCAAGCAGGTACGTCCAGAAGGCATCCCCTCCAGATATCACCGCAGTGCAAGGAGTGTCTTCGTTGAGCGGTGACTCCAACACTGCACACCACTCCCCTGCTAAAGGAAACTTCAAAACAAGAACAAATTCAAAGGAATCCCTGTGACTTCAAGGGGTTCACACACACACACACGACCTCCGCAAAGGGTTCGCCGATGTCACCAAGAATTCGTGTTTCACCTCGCGTTTGACTGGCCATTGGGCACGCGCGATCTCGGAAAAGGATCATCCAAGGGAAAAACACAATTTGCATATCGCAACAGTTTTGCGTATCGGGCAGGCGCTATCTCCGCAGAGCGCCGCGTATCGTAAGTACCGGCCGGACCCGCCCGCAGCCTGAAGAGAAGATTATAAAAATGCCGAGGTTGTAGTTGCGTAGGTGCGTTTTGTATGTGTCTTCACCTGTCTGATCTCAAGATCTGTATCTCTATCTCAACACCTGAAACCAAACGCCTGTATCTAAACACCTGCATCTACACACCTGTATCCAAACACCGGTATCTGTGTAGGTATCTCCCAGCAGCTAGTTGCATCACCGGTATCTCTGCACCTGTATGATGACGTGTTTGGAGAAGAAGATGAAGACGTTGATGATGACGCAGATGTGTTGTAGCCCCTGCTTCACCTGCATGTCTGCACCTTGATGATTGATGATGATGATGATGGTGATGATGATGATGGTTGTGATCCAGATGACGACAACTCAAGACAAACATGATGATGATGACGAGGAAAATGAATATGATGATCATGATGGTGATGATGACGGTTGGACAGTTGAAGTTGGCAGCCGTTCTTTGCGGAGAACCCTTCGCAGGTGCTTTCGGGAATTCACAAACCAAGTAAACAAACCGCCAAACCTAAATTACATACACCTACTGTAACCGATAGGTTCCGACCAAACCATGAGATCTCTATAGAGACATGCGCAAACATGGCGACACCTCAATTATGCCCGTCAGATCTCAAGATTTGCCAAAAGGCGTGCCCTCCATAGCTTTCTGCAATGCCTAAGCCCACCGCCTCAGCAATGTCCAATCGAAATCGAAAAAAATGTGGAGGATGTCTAGTCTAGTTATGTCCTAGCCCACATCCTGTATACCAAAAAACAAATTAAAGTCAATCTTCAGGTTTTGTTGTTTATTGACTTGATCCAACAAACACGTGCCTTTCTACATGTGGCACTGACCCCGTGGACCACACGTGGAACTGGCACGGGTTGAAGTTATTCAGTGGAGGCGTCGCGGAGCCGTCCGACAGTTGGACATCGTCCTGGTGCATCTTTTTTAAACGGGAGGCCACTAAACTGAACTGGGTTTTGGTTGGTTTGGGTATGTGTTTGTTTTTCATCCAAAAGGCGTTATACAGCAATAAGCGTCCATGTTCTCTTTATTTTGACAACATCCTGGTTGGAATACTCTTGTTGGACAATTCTTGTTTAGATGGGTTAGGACCTGCTGACCACTGTCAAACAAAATGCAGCTGATGCAGCTGAAGCCTACAGTACAAAACCACCCCTCTACACTGACAAAAGGCTTCCACGAAGATCAAAGATGTGAAGTGCAAATGAGTGGACAGAAGTACAGTGGAAGTGGATGAAGATTCACTAGCGCGCTCGAGTGACGGTCAAAGCTAGCAGCCACCCCAGGCAATATATATATATATAGCACATGCGTTCTACCCTCCCCATCAACAATCAACCGCCCACTATGAACAAATTCTCTGGCCATCCCCATCAGGAAGAAACAATTCCCGTTAATGTGCCTAGCTTCGATGGGAATGAAGATGACCGTGCATAGCTTGGTCATCACTTTCATCAGAAAGGCACGCTCGTCCACAGGGCGCACTCCGATCAAGACGGTGCATATCAAGCTGGCCATGACTCCAATCAGTGCGAAGATTGCTTGCCACCAAAACGCTTGTGGAGTTGGGGCAAACGAGAGATGCATCTGAATGGCGTTCTTAACCGAAATCCTCGGATGGCCACCACATTGTTGGTTGTATCCCCGTGAACTTGAAGAGGCCTCTTTGTCCCCACTTGCACAGGTGAGAGTCTCTACGGGAGATTGTGACAAAGGCCTCTCCTCCACGCATCCCTTGTTCACCGAAATCCATGCCAGTCTGACCCCCAAACGCGCCCGGCACGACAGCGGGCTGCTCAGTCTCGGCACGCATGGACCCGAACACTATAGGGGGCCCCAATCCGTGTGTGCCCACACCGACCAGACAGAATTGGCAGCATTGGTGGAAGACTGTCAGAAGATATAGCAAACACAAAGCTAACATTTCTGCAACATGAACTCCCGGATGTCGAATTGGATTGAGTGCCAGAAGATATGCCAGAATGTCAGAAGATATGCAAGAAAAACACTACCAGAAAGGCTGTCAGAAGATAAATAGAATAAGAGAACATGCCAAATTAAATAGACTGTCAGAAAGGTTGTCAGAATATATGCCAGGTAGAATGCCAGGGATATGCCAGATAGAAAGCCACAAAGAATGCCAGGGATATGCCACATAGGACACCAAAAAATGCAGATGTGCCGGGTAGAATGCCAGAAGACACGCCATATAAAATGTCAAAAAATGAGCAGAATGCAAGATAATAGGCCTAAGAAAGAATGAGCAGATGACGGAATATATCCGCAGGACTGCGAAACACAAACAAAATAGAATGTCAGAAGATATGCCAGTTTAAATAGAATCCCAGAATTCATGTCGGAACATATGCCAGGTAGAATGCCAGAGGTATGCCACCTAGAGTACCAGAAAATACGAGAAAATGCACCAAAACAAGTTGAGAAATTGCTGAAGACATGCTAGGCAAAGTGCCAGAAATAATGTCAGAAGATGCGCCATGTAGAATGACACAACACATATATCAGATGACACGCCAGAAACGATGTCAGAAGATATGACAAGTAAAATGCAAGAATATAGAGGCCTAAGATGGCCTAAGAAATCGGAACATATCCGCAGATAGACATGCCAAAGGCATACCAAATAGAATGTCAGAAGATATGCCAATAAAGAGAATCCCAAAAGGGATGTCACAATATATGCCAGGTTGACACTCTTGTAGGACACTCTTGTGTGGCACTCTTGTAGGATGCATTCTTGTGGGACACCCTTGTGGGGCACTCTTGTAAGACACTCTTGCTTGACATTTGTGCGACATTGTGGGACACTGTAGGGCACTCTTGTCGGACACTCTTGTCGAGCATTCTTGTGTGGGACACCCTTGTAGTACGCTCTTCTGGGAAACCACCGCTCATCCTGCTCACCGGCGACACACCACGTTTACGCCATCACACTCTTGCGGGCAACTACCAAACAATTCCACAACTGGACTGGACAGGTTGTTTCAGGTCCTTGCCAGCCATGTCTGTGCAGCATGGGGACCTTATCATGTCTTACAACTCGACAGATATCGTTTGGCCCAGGGATCCTCGGATCCTTCTCCAAATGACGGCCCACTCATCCAACGACCACTTCGTGAGTAGAGAGTTTTGTTTACTGTCTCGTGTACAGGCAAGCGGAAAACCAACAAAACATAGGATCTATGGGGCAAACCACATTGTCTTGGTTTAAATCCGTTCCTGACAACATATTATGCAGTCATACATGTCTTTACGTTTCATTCCTTCAGCAGGTTTGAAAGCAATTTGAACAAATCAACACATCCGCTATACTATGTGTATATACACTCTGATAACCCTGACACAAACTGAGGATCTAGCAACACCAACCATGCAACAAACCATGCAACACCACCCAACCCCCAAACGTGAGCCCTGAAAAGAAGAGTCCGTACGTCCTTCAAGAGTCTCAATAACTGCATAAATCATCATATATGCTTCCAAGGAACAACTGCAACGGTCCTAGTACTACGAAGGAAATGGCCCCGTCCGCATGCCCAGCTCCCGTGATGTCCACGCCCTTCACCGCCGCAGAGCGCAAGGCTGGAGACGAGATCCCTGCGGAGATGAGGACCTGCAATAGGCCGAGATCTATCGACGGCCGAGATCTATCGGGCCGTGTGTAAATTTAGGGTGAAACATACAACAAAACGACGTTGGATCCGAGCTATTTGGTGATTTCTGGACCTGAAGGCGGTCGGGACAGTCACAGGTCTGTCGGGGAAAGGATTTGGATTCCGATATCAAATATTGTGTGGGAGATATTGTAGGAATTCAATGGAATCCAAATTTAATGTTTGCATATTATGGTCATGGAGGGATCGCATGCGGTGTAGCCAACATCAGATCCAACAGAACTGAGCGGTTTGTCCAGATTCCACTCTGAACTAGAGTTCCCACATGATCTGGAGAGTCCAGCAGCTAAATAAAACATGTTTCAGCCAGGAGACATCAATGGCATTGTCTACTGCATCAACCTTGTGACCGATCTCGTCCCAAATGTTCATCATGTCGCCCGGTCGTGTGCATGAGGCCTGTCTGCCAAGGGGGGCCAGTGGCGACCTCTAAAGGAGAACAGTTGAGCAATGGGTTAGTGGTCTATTGTTCCTCGCAATACACCTTGTCTGGAGACAATCCCTGGTGAATATCTATAAACATTCGGGTGTGACTTCATCAGGTTGTTTTTTTGCGACACATCGAAATAAGGTCACTTATATAATTGTGGGCGAGGGAGATTAGCCACGTATCCAAACTTACAACATGAACTGAGTCATGAGCCAAAGCATCCAAAACCAGGATATTGATTTCCGACATTATTAACCCCTTATGAGTTGCCAGTACAGCGTTAAAACACCTTTTGATGAGAGCCCCAGCATACAACCTAAGGGTAGGTCCCTTTCCAACCAACAGAGTTCGCTTGTGTTTGGGAAAAATCCGCAAAGCATTCCCCCCAAATCAGGGTAGCAATACCTCGAAAATAGTGACGACATTGTCTTTTGCCTGTACGTAGTGGGAGAACCCAATTCGGCCGCATCCAAGTTATCTGGCTTGTGGGCAGCGCTTGAAACAGCTCAACAGGCTGGTGGCAGCTTGGAAGCTTCAGCTGGTTGTGAGGTGGTGCAAGTTTTTCAAGAGCCCCATATGATCCCATATGGCAGTCTCTCCATTCATTATCCCATATGGCTCCCGCATGATAGTTACTTACATCCCAGTCAGACAACTTTCGCTCGTGCCAAACGTCTCGTGAACGCGACTTGCCCAACTCTGTGGATGTTCCTCTTCACCTCGGCAGTGATATCTCCGATTCTAACCAGTCTAAAAGGTCGATCTCGAAACCTCAGGGGCTGAGATCGCTTCCAAACGGAAGTCAACCACTGGGAACGGGAAGTCAACCACCAAACTTGATCATCATGCAATGAATTTTGCACTCCGACTGTACTTACACTGGTTACATCACCAAACCACCAGGTCGCGACCGCGGCGCGCGTTTGCCGCCCGGATGAACATCTCCGGCGAGTGGCGAAGCGGATCGAGCCCTTAAAGTCCTTGCGCAGCTGTTGGCCCTCCTCGGCCAAATGCCAACTCCGCACACGGTCCAGCTCCGCAACCAGGAAGAAGGCGATGGCCGAAAGCCACACCAGGCGCTGACAAATCTCTTCAATGACTGCGAGCACGGTGGAAGGCACAGCTGGTGAGTCGAGTGAATTCAGCTGGGAATTTCATGGCCGACACATTGCCGAAACCAGGTCTCATTTTGTTGGTCGTGGTCTCACTGGTTTGATCGGTCTGGATGTGGCCGGGACCAAGAACGATACATACAGTGCAGCAGACCGCAGACTGTCAAACATGGGGTTTGTATAAGTTTGTCTACCCGGGGTTGATGTGATGGTTTTGGGGTGTTCAGCTTTGACCCACACCCAATTGGACGTCTTGACGACACAACCAGTCCAAGTTAAGTTTTGTTCAATCAACTATCTGAAATGTTCTTGGGTGTGAAGGCAATGAATAAAGGCGTCAAGAAACATGTGAAAAATGACAACCCTGAAAAAGGGGCCAAGCCCGGGAAAAGGGAATGGAATAATAATTGTGAAAAAAAGCCAGCCAGCTTCTCTTTGCCCAACAATGGTGCTGGTCCTAGGCTCTTCCTCGACGAGAGAATGAGCAGGTTGCGAAGAAGACCAATGGGAACATCCAGGAGTTTTTGAACAGCTTGACTGCCCCATAAAGAACATAGAGAAGCTCTTTCAAGAAGGTTTCCAAGACAAGGAAAGCACTCAAAGACCCCAACCTAAACAGCTTGTGGGAGAAGCACTGCTTGTGGGTGTCAAATCCCCCCCAAAAAAGCAGCTAAGCCGGCCTTCCTCAAACCTAGGGGCAAAAGAACGCAGGGTAACATGTGTGAGACCACTGGAGATCTTTGAGACCACTGGCTTCTTGAGGACATTTTGTGGTCTTGAGTCTATGGTCTTGCTTCAGTCTACAGCTGAGGCAGCAAGGAGACATCGGGTGCCAGTCGGCAGCTGAGGCACCCAAAGGCAATGAGAAGGGCACCCTGACTGCATTGTGTGGCACTAGGCCCAACACGTCACATTGCTACGGAAAGGATTCTGTCCGGAGAGGGTGGGGAGGCCCAAAGGGCTTAGCAGTTCCTGGCAGTTTGCCGCAAGGAAAAGCAATTGGCTTACACAGATACAACATCCCAGCATGCTGTGACTCTTGAAGCCAGCCGAAGAATGAAGAACCTGGAGTGGATGAAAGCCATGCAACATGGGTCAATGGTTGCTGGAGAAGGCTTTCAATGAGCTTCCACCAAAGAAAAGAAACATAAGACCCAGCTGGCTTTGATGGACAAAATCACAGATGAACAGGAGGAAGAGGAAAATCCTAACAAGTCCAGCTCACAGGCATCTGCATTCAATAAATCTTTGGGAGTCACAGTCACACTTTGGACTCATTTTGAGAGTCACACTCTCTTGAAGATCCCCAACTTGTTGGGAATCTTATGACGGAACCTGTGTTTTTTTGTTGCTGTTCTCATGTGTGTGTGTGTGTGAGCTGCTGGAAGGAAAGGTTCCTTCCTTTTGGTCTACGTGGGGATGCAAGTGCCAAAAAATGACCCCATCCATGTGGTCTCCATGAGATCACTCCTGTCCAGGAAATCCAGCCCCCATGTTGCAAAATCACAGTTGGTCTTTTTCTGGCCATGCCAAAGGGATGCATCAGCAAAATGCCCGGGTGGTCCCAGCAGTGATATACCACGCACCATTTGTGGTCAGTGACCAAGTGGAGCTTTGAAGCTGTGTACTTCAAACCAGTTTCCGGAATCTGATCATAGAGGAAAAGCATGGCCTCAGACCAGCTGAAGGTCACAAATGGCTAGGGAACCTTTAAACTCTGATCGCCATTCAGGTCTGCTTTTGCAAATCAAGGTGATGCTGAATACCTTCAGAATGAGTTTGGCTTGACCCTGATATCACATGAAAAACATATATGCTTTCAGTGTGGTGGCCAACAAATCTACTTGCCCATACAATGACTTCAGACCTAGAGCTGCTCAGGCAGCTGGGACATCCGCCACTGACCACTTGGTGTCACTGGGGATAGCTTTAAGCGCTTGAAGACGGACTGACAGCCCACTGTATTGCAAACTGTGACTTTGACTTTGTGTTCAGATCTGACTGGCTGGCGCCCTTTTGATGTTAGACTCAAGGCACTCTAGATGGGAAGAGTTTCACACTCAAGGCACTGAGTTGGGCATTGACCGTGAGCACGGAATCGGGAGGGTGAGCACGGAATCGGGAGGTTTCCTTTGCTGTGCCTTTTGCACCATGAAAGCCAAATGGAAAAGCTTTTCCATCCTTGTCAAGGCCACTTCCCAGTGCAGGTGACGCTCTTCCTGTGTTTCTCCAAAGGTGTGACCAGGATCCAGCAGATGCTTGTTCTCCGCACAGGTTGCAATAACTGAAAACCTTGAGTGATGAGGATGAACTCTGGGGTGCTCCTGCGGAGTACAGTTCCAAAGATGCACTGAGCCCGGTACCTTGCCCACCTGCTCAAGTGGCTCAATCCAAAGTATTATGCATGCTATCAATGTGACAATGGGGGGGCCCCTGTCTGGCATGCCTCAATGGAACTCCAGCACATCAGGTGCCTCTCAAAGTCTGCTGGAGATTAGGACTGGCATTTCACCTCAGGAATCAAGGTGCAGACTTTGGATTTGCAGCATCTGACAGTGAAGGCTAAAGCCTTGCAAAGAGGCATTGGCCCTGTAAAGGGCTTTGGCCCTACAAAAATGCTTTCAACTTTTGCTGCGCCTTTGAGACTTTGCAAGCTGTGTGGCTAAAATAGGTGCTGCCTGTGTTACATAGATCCAGTGAGGAAGTGGATTCAACAATTCATAAGGGTTTATTGGTGAAACCAATCAAGAACCCTGTTGGTTGCTTCTCAAATGTTGTCGGTCAGTCCAATGAAATCCAATGACGGGTGAAAAACCACACACCAATAGGATCATCTATTTCATTGCCGCCTTCTTCGCCGACAAAAACTGTTCCCAGTCTTTGAGGCAACATCAATTATGTGACAAGCAATTGCCCCTCCAATAATGTTTCCTATCTTCTTCCTATCCTACCATATCTGCGGGTTCCGGGCAGCTCAGGTCCGGCAGTGGGTCAACACAAGCAAAACACATTCCGACTCATTAACTGGAGTGTGCCCATCAAGAGAACACACAGTACACCGGCGGGGCCCCGGCTCTTTGGATTCTTTTCTTGATATCGTGTCTTCTCTTCTTGATATATCTTAGATATCGTGGCCTTCTTCATCATCAATTTCCTTCTGATCGTTCATTTCCTTCTTTCGAGCGCTCCAAAAACAACGACTCCTACAATCTCCGCATACCCCGTCTCATTGTGGACACTCTGCGAAACAGTGTTCTCATCAAGACATCTGTCTCGCCCCGCCCAGGGAGTTGGACTGACTCCGATTCCGTCGAAACTCCGTTGGCTTCGGCCTGGGGGTAGCAGCTGGAACTCCTGGAGATGCTTTGGATCCTCGGCGGATGGAGGTCGAGTCGAGTGAAGCCAAGCCAACCAACCCACCGAAGGATCGAACTGTTCGGTCATGGGATGACCCCTGGGTCCGATTTGGAAGGAAGCACCTGTGTGTGTGTGTGTGTTTTTTTGTTTAAATGTTTTTTGGGCCAGTCCTTGGGTTCTTCCTTTTTGCAAAATGAAGATCTGGACAATCATCCCATGGAGTAGGACTAAGAGTCAAACAGGGTTGTACAACAGAAGAAGCAGGGGATGCCGGTGTGCTAATGCCAAGAGGCCATCAACAAATTAGCGAACATAAACATCGCGGTTAGAAGAGTACCATATGTGTCGCGGGGAGTGAGTTTTGGGAAGGGTGACTTGATTGCTGTCATAGCTATTGCACATCGTGTTCTTGCCGTCCTATCTTTGGAGCGTGCACAGCTGAGATGAGTGTAACGACTGCAACTGCAGTAGCAGCAGCAGTGAACCGCTTTGGGGATCAGGCAGATTTAACAGCTTGCCACCAAAGCGGGAAGCTATTAAATAGCCCCCAGGCCCAAACAAACAAGCTCCCAGATGGGTTTGGAGGCTTGTTTTTGTCTTGCAACCCTGTCACCCTTTCTCCTCTCTCATGCGGACTGGATTCGGGCCATCAGTCACCCACAAAAGCTGATCTGAAAAAACAAGATGGAGCCCACGAACCCGAACGCAAACACGTTCGAAAAGCTACATATGTCCAAATGACACTCTTGTAGGACACTCTTGTGGGACACTCTTGTGGGTCACTCTTGTAGGAAACTCTTGTGGGACACTCTTGTGGGTCACTCTTATGGGACACACTTGTCGGACACTCTTGTGGGACACTCTTGTGGGACACTCATACGGGACACTCCTGTGGAACACTCTTGTAGGACACTCTTGTGGGACATGCGGGACACTCTTGTGGGACACTGTTGTGGGACACTCATATATACGGGACACTCTTGTGGGACACTCTTGTAGGACACTCTTGTGGGACACTCCTGTAGGGCACACTCTTCGTACGAGACTTCCTCCAAAAGTCACGCTGCGAGGCTGCAAGACCAGCGTTTCGTACGAGACATCCTCCAAAAGTCACGTGTCAAGTCTCAAAAACGAGCGTTTCGTACGAGACTTCCTCCAAAAGTCACACGTCAAGTCTCCAAAACGAGCGTTTCGTACGGTACTTCCTCCAAAAGTCACATGTCAAGTCCCCAAAACGAGCGTTTCGTACGAGACTTCCTCAAAAACTCACATGTCAAAGTCTGCAAAACGAACGTAGCAGATTCGTGATTCCAGCCCCTCCAAACGACACCCGCTCACACGCCAATCCCAATGTGACAGCGACATTCACCTCTACCACAACTCACAACCTCCCGATTCCCTGCGCCTGCCACGAATCTTTCCGCGTCCACACGTCTAACGCGCACAAAGTACTGCGCCTGCCACGAAATGTCACCTCCGTCACACCTCGCAACCTCACGATTCCCTGCGCCTGCCACGAGAATCGCACTTCCACACCTCAAAAGCCGCACAAAGTACTGCGCCTGCCACGAAAAGTGACAATATCATCTCATGTGAGCTTCAACAAAGTTTGCACGGCACCACACGTTTGGAATGATTTCGACCCGTTCTGAGCACACTCCCATCCACCAAAATCGGCATTTCAGCTGAGACTTGTCACGACAACAGAGCTTCGATGCCACACCCTGAAACGCAAATCCCAATGGCACGGCCACATCCAACACTCCAAAAACACGACTCTCCAAACGCTAATCCCAATGGAACTGCGCAGCAAACTGCAGATCTCACAAACCACTGGCCTGCGCAGCGAAATGCATCACGTTTCTTGCGCGACATCTCATTTTCATGCAAATCACAATGTAATAGCGGTGCAAACTGACACGTGGCACATCTATGAAAAGTCACTTGCAAAAGCTTCCCCCAATGGCAGCGCCTTAGCGCTCTATTGCGAACGGTTGCGAACGGTTGCGAACGGTTGCGGACGGTTGCGAACTTAGAAACAACGGGTCACGAACAAGGCTCTACCCCCAGACCCCCAAGAGTTAAACGAGAACCCTTCGCTACGCATTCGGGAAAAAAACATGCCACCTGAACATGTTCAGATCCTCAATCGTAGTAGACATCTTTTATGGCGGAGAGCTCGTTGGACCAGCCGAAGAATCGCGCGGGTCAAGCTAGCAAATTATAGTGATCCGATCGGTGTCAGGCTCAAAGGGAGACCCTCCTTCGTTTAAGAAATCGTAAGCACTTGGGCACCTGCCAGCTTGGGTCCCCCAAAGAAGTGTGACTTTCTTCAACAGTACCCATGAATCTCGGCTCATGGATCCTCAAAGCCGTTTGAGGTCCAATACATGAGTGTCTTTACATCCTATGAGGCTCCAGGTTTCCTGGATCCAGGCCGCGCCAATCTCTCTCCCCATTGATAGTGGCATCATGGCATGTCACATTGACCCAAACCCAGTGACCCAGACGGAGGCCCGTCGACATCTGTGGCCAAGTGTCCCATCGCACCTCCAAGTTTCCAGCCGCCAGGAGACCGAAATAATTGGCCACCCGGCGCCAGCGCAGACCTCGATCAGACGGATCATTGGAAGCTGATCTGATCGGAGTGAGTTGGAGGTGTGGAGATGAAGCTTAGGCCCCTAGGGCAGCTTAGTTGGGCCCCTATAGGGCAGCTGATCGAAGCATCTTCAGCAAAAGCTGGCACTTTGCACATCCAGTCGAGATCACCTTGTCACACTGTATTGTCTACGACAGCCTCACCAGAACAAGTCATGGGCATCATGGGGTGACAAGTCTTGGGGCGTAGAGCCCATCGCTGTTCGTCCTCGACAGTTCAAGCGGCTTGTGACTCCCAAGTTGGGTCTTCGCTTAGCAACTGGCCGAAGATTCTAAAATGATCTAAAATGCCTTTGTTCGTGGACAAGAACCTGACGGGACATCCAAGCGCGCCAGGGCATGTTTCTTCACTTGGATTATTCCATGTCTCACATCCGCTTCAGATTGCGACACTATCTCTCTTTCTTAGTGGGACTGTGTTACCAACACCATGTGCCCAACTCCCACAACCAATGTCCGGGTCGCTATAGGCACTCACGAAGGCGCAAATGGAAGAAAACACGGCGACGGCTGTCTCCACCCTGGCAAACAACAGGTGCGGAGACTGAAGAGCGTACCTTGCTGTTAAAGAAACCGATGGAGGATTCAGAATAAAAGCTTGTGTTTTCACATGGGTCCGGGATGGGTTTTAACACGTAACTATATAAATATAATATTAGTAGATACTACCTTAATAGGCTTAGGTTCTTGGCCTGAAAAATATTTTGCATATAGTTATATTCATTTCTATTCAATGAGGTGTACGACATCCTGCAGCAACTGCCACTCTGGTCTTCTCGAGCAAAGTTCGACGAACGGGCGCCGAAATGGGCCCGAACTGTCAAAGACAAACTGCAAGGACTGCAAACAATAATTTTCAATTTGTGTGAGGCTAGCTAGCTACAAACAAACCGTCTTCAGCGAACACGAAAGAAAGAAAAGGTTTACGTCTATATTGTCTACTTTATATGACATACTTCTAGCACACACTATAACTGTGGGTCCTCAGTCTTACATGCAGCTTTCCAAATCTGACAACAACTGAGCAACACTTCTTCAGCCGGTTTCGCCTCTTCCATTGAAAGCGGCTGGATCCTTTCGACACTGAGGTTTTACCCCTCCCGGCCTCGAGAGTAAGCACCTCTTTGGGAACTACACGCCTTGTTGAGAGGCTTTTTTTTGTCAGAACTACTGCAGAATCTTTGTGTTGACACTTGGCGAGCACTGCTCGTCTCGAGCAGCGCTCCAAGTGTCAAAGGCCCTTCGCGCTAGTCGGAAGGCCTTTTGCCTCACGTTCGACATGCGAATCTCAAACACTGCCGGGGCCCCCCCGCAGAATCGATGCAGTCCCGGCAGAATCGATGTTCGTTGAGAAAAAACATTGAAAAAACAGGAAAAACAGGACAGTGCCCATCAAAAGTGCACCGAAGTATAAGCAACACCCACTCTCCACCGAACGACGCACCGATCGGTGTGCCTTAAAGTTAAGTGGGTGAGTCGACCAATTGCTCCAATGACAAGCCCCATGGTCAATGGCACCAAAGCCTTGAAAAAACGGAGCCAATCGGAGTCAGTCGGGTGGTGGTTCCTCGACAATCTGGAAAAAAAACAACTGAGTTTCAAGGCTTGAGTAAAGAGGATGTGGCGTAGTGACATGAAGCATTAAACTTCTTCATATGTCCATCTGTCCTCTGTTCTTGGTGGTTGGCTACGAACTTCCTGCTGTGAATGTCGTCAAGCAGGTGGGGTGTTTGGTGCCTACCCCAGACCTGCATGTTTCAACTGTTTGGGCGAGAACCTTCAAATCAAGCATGTTCATAGAGCCGCACACAAGGCATCACAAGGCTCTCTGCAAATACCAGCACGTCTGTCTTGCCCTGAGTATTCTTTCAGTTTGTTTCCGAGTGACTGCTGACAATGCGAATCAAAGTTTGGCTACAATTGTGGTACCAACAACATCCACAAGTATTGATGGTTGGGTAAGTTGGGTATTATAGTTGGAGGGTATACAGGAAAATCAAAACTCATCCACCAAACGGGGAAGGCACTACAGTAATCATTAATATTGAAACTCTTCATTCCTCTACCTGGGACTGGGACATCCATGGGGTGTCGGAATACCTCTGAAGATAGTTCAGACATATTCTCGAACATCTTAAGGCAACCAACGTGACTAGAGGCCCTCTGTGTCTTCAGGGCATTCCCTTGCTGAAACCTCCATAAATGCTCCAACTTCCTCACCTGTGTGATACCCCAGTGCCCGCGCGGGAATGGGTGCTTTTCCGAGCTGATCCGCCTGTAGAAGGGCCCGGCGCTGGGCAAAGCCGCTTGGCGCAGTGGCGATTTCGATCGTCTTGTCCTCCTCGGAAGCCACGTACGCCTCAAAACCTGAGCTGTTGAGCCAGGTAGACCGGTAGACCCACGAATCAGAAACCATTTCCCGAAAGGTCGAAACAAAAAAAGGTGGGTTGCATAGGGTGGCTTGGTCAAAGCAATCACATTGGATCCATCCCCAAAGCCAGGGTCTGTTGCAACATCCATTCCCAAACTCCCCATGCACGGAATATAGTGGAATGAGTAGTGGAATGTACTATTGGGGTGGTCTGAGAGGTCAACGTAGGCATACATATATACTGTGTGTGTGTTGTGCACTAAAGACTCCAGTCTTCTAACAGATGCCTTGTGAGCACTCATTCCCTTTTCATAGAGTCTGTCTCGAAGCTTGGCAGTGTCACAAACGCATACAATATAACACGTTGTATGTTTGCACTCTTGCGCAGCAGCCAATCACGCTATGGAATGCTCCATGTTTCCCGTGCCTTGCCCAATTTCGTTGTTCCGCAGACCTTCTCGGCCAATTTGCCAACGCTCCAGCTACTGGCGCAGCACACTCCCGCGTTTGTCTATGTGCCCCGGTGGGGAAGAGCATGTCGCTGGCAGAATCACCGTGCGCAAAGGGAGCCAGAGTGCAGCAGTTGCAGCTGCTGTTGCAAGAAAACAGGCGTGAGCTGGCGCAGCGCCGGCAGCATGTGGCGAGGTGGGCGGCCAAACGTGGTAATTTAGGC